AAGCTTTGCCACAATTTAAGTGTCATTGGGTATAAAATACACAGCATAGGGTTTCTGTTTGAAAGACTTGGATTTCTGTTGTTTGGGAGACATGGAATTCTATCACGGCCTGAAAGAGCGGAAGTGTATTCAAAATGCTGCATCATCGAGTCCTGACTTGAACCAGGAAGTAAAACACAAGAGGAGTGAGTATATACGGGGAATCAAACAAATATCATGTGCTGTTAGAGAATCCGTGGGAAAATACTATAACAAATTACAGAAAGTCAGAGTTCCCTGGACCTTTTCCTCCTGGAGTTCCAAAACCAGGAAGTACTCTACAGTATAGCCCTGATGTCCTCCCACATCAGGTCTCTGCACTGCTCCCTGTGGCTCAAAGAGTAGCCAGTTCTGCTTGTGTTCAAGTCTCTCCATGGCCTCGCACCAAAGGACATCTCTGATTTGTTAGTGCCATATGAACTGCTGGGTCTCCGAGGAGCACAGGGAATGATCTCCTTTTCGGATTGCGAGGACCACAGGGGCAGGGGACTCCGAAGATCACAGGGACTGAGCTCCTGCTGATGCTGTGGGGATTCAGCGTTTCATATTTACGTAACAAATCTGGTCTTCTTGAAAATGTGAGCTTTACTCTAGTAAGGTAAACATAGATTTTAAAAACTCAAATTAGAAAAACGTACAACTGAAAAATCTACAGCCTCCTTATACAGATACATTTTCTGTGCCAGGTGATAATGTAATCACTATGGTTTGTCACGTTGTTTGCAACATGATTGAAAATGTTTTGGGGAGATTTGTACAATACTTTTTGTAGCAAAGCTTGGAAATTGGAACAAAAAAACAACAATCATAAAGTGGTTTTCTAGTTCTTTGTTTTTATGATTTTAATGTTTTTTTTTCTTGGTTCAGAATGTTTTGTTTTTCTGCACAGAGCGGGTGAACATGGTCATGCGTTCTTCTTGAAATTCAGCCATAACAATGTCAGTCTGATGGTTTGCTCAATAGTGTATCAATGTAGAAAGGAGATGTAGTGAAGAGAGAAATAATAAACATAAGAAATAATTATCGGTATAATTGCACTGTTTATAATGAGCCATTTTAATAAACAGATCTTTTAATCCACGTCTATTGGATGGCGGCAGAGCTGGGGTTAATCTCGTGATAAAGGTCTCTGTGGATTAAACCGCTTTGGAGAATTGAACACAGCAACAAAACACACATTTTTTTAGAAACACCAGCGTTACGAACCTTAGTCACTCTTACTTGGTGATATTTAGGTTATTGACCAAAAATCAACAAACCTAATTTTACATAAAAAAATTAAATCCATACAACTTCTATCTTCAGTGTTCACATTCATAGGTCACATCTTTAGATCAGACTTTTTCAGACAGAAAAGTCAAAAAGAAACACCCGCATCAAAATCAAGCCAAACCGATTTGTTTGTTACTTTTATAAGACTTGTTATGCTTTGAACGTTAGGAACCCAAGCTTTAATTTAGATTCCTTGCCATTATTGCCAATGACCACTTTTAAAATCAAATGCTTCTCAAACCCCTTGGGAATGAGAAAATAATGAGTTCATGTTTAACTAAGCTTTCCAAAGCCTTAACAAATGAATTCTGCAATAATCCTGGGCGCTGTTCGTGCGATGCTCTTGGGGGCGCTATTGGTGAAAGCAGACCCTCTGGAATGCAGTGTGTTTTTGTGCTACCTTCACTTAAATCAGAATGAAAATGTACACTTTAACATTGTGTAGATTGTGCGTTAGCTTGTATGTGGTGTCTATGTTTGTACATGTGTAGAATCATGTGGAAGAAGATTCGATTGTTCACGTTACAGTATAATCATGCAGTGGCCTATTTTAAATGAACAGAAGCGGCTGTAACATTAGAATAAATAATATACATTCGTTGCTGTCCTTTAATTTATTATAATATCATCATATGTTGTATAATTTTAACATAATTTCAACATATGGATCAGAATTCCAAATAGCATTAATGTATATTAGTTTATTTAGTATAACTTTGGAGAGGGAAGCTGAGGCCACTGCGGCTTATCTTCGGGAAGCCCTGGTCTGGATCAGAAATTATTATTATTGACGCATTTCATGTAAACATGTATTCTTTTCAAATAAAAAAATCTAATAATAAAAATGAATACAATAAAAACCATTGAATAATTGAAACGCACAAGAAGAATTTAAGGCGAAAATATTTTTCAAATAGACACAGGTCATTGTCTTGTGAAAATTAGGGCCTCTACAAAAATAAATGTATGTACAATAATAATAATAATAATAATAATAATAATAATAATAACAGTAATAAAGTAATAAAATACTATAATTACAGAAGTTTATCAGATTCTGACTCTTCTTTTATGAGATATTTTTCATGAAAAGTTTGCTTCCACTTTTGACTTCCTGTATTTTTGACAAAGAAAATGCAAAATAAGTTATACAGCATATGACTAGTTACAAGATGAAATAAATAAAACCACAAACAATTACACAAAACATGTATAAAACCAATAGAACAAATTATTTTTTTTTCTATTTTTTTATCAAATTATATAACTTACCACAAGATCCCGGCCCAATACAATCGTCACACTACACTTCTGTCACTGTAAAATATCATACCTCTGGACACTGGAATATCTGCACTTATAAATGTCTATTGTGTGTATTTCAATTTTACAAAGATTTTTGAATGCATGCCTTTATATACATTTTATTTATTTATTTATTGTATTTTTGTATGACTTATGCACCACATGCCAAAGCGAAATGCCATAGCTTTTGATTCCCTGTTATTTACAATGGCAAAAAAAAAAAAAGAAATAAAATCTAATTCTGGTTTTCAAAAGCTGACATGCACACATCCATTGGACTCTGGTTTTCATTACACACATTGGCCTGCTATAGCATTGTGATATAGTACATGTCTCAAATACATCTCTGCGTGGGCCATATTAACAACGCTCGCATTTCTTCCAGTCGATGTGCATGGAAGTCATTATAACACCGAGGATCCATGTTTCACCTGAACTCAAAGCCAAACTACTGACCTGGAATCGATGCAGTCAAACTCAGTGGATAAATCAGCTTTAACCTTACACCGCATGGGCCCTCGGCTGCAGTTCGGCATGTTTGCAGACAGAAAAATGTATCGAGAATTCTTCTATTAGTTTGATTTAGTGCTTTGCGAGCCATCTGAGCGCGCTTTCTTATAACTGTGGGCCATCTGAGCGCATATACATTTGGATTTGTTTCCAGTGAACGATAAATCCAGAACACAGCTGTATATGTTAGTCAGGCCTCCAGTTACAAAAGCTAAGCCTGATCTGATGCCTTTCACATGATATCTGCTTTTCATTCAAATATTACAGATTGAAAAAGTTACATTTTTGCTTTATGGAATAGTTGTTTCTGTTTTCTGAAAGACTATAGACGTATAGCTGACCACAAATATATAATATTAATCAGTTAATATGTGTTTCTTATAACAATAATAATGTGTTTTTTTCTGGTTTTATTCAGTGTCAAAGCACTTCTAGGGATGAATAGTGCAAACAAGGCATGGCTAAACTTTGTGATTTATTTATTAATTGAGCAGGAACAAAAGGGACATAAATGTTGTTCACAGAACTGGTTGATCAAAATATAAACACAAACATTTTTTTTTTTTCAATGTTTAATTCAAAATGTATGTATTTGTATGAATTATTTATAATTTGATTTATTATTATTTATTTACCAAACAAATTAAGATAAATATATAACATGAAAAATAAATTAAAGTATATTTCAATAAGGTTGTAGAAATGATATTGTCACATTTAAAACTCTACTTTCTATTTTCAGTACCATTTTCATTGTTAAACTAATTGCTTTGTGTTTTACTGATGAGTTAAATTAGATCTTTTATTGATATTATGGACATTATTAATTAAACACATAGATAATACATATAATAAGCATGTGTTAAATAAAGCTACGTCTTCCATCTTTTGAAGAGTCACAACTTCAACACGATTCAATGGAAGCTCCCTCATGGAGATACATACTAATAATATGTGTGTAGAGCAAGTTCATTCAAACAAATGTTTTTCAACTTTTCAACAAAAGCAAAAAAAGCAACAAGAAAATATAATCATAAATGCAGGATTATGGCTGAACATAAATAATGCTTTAAATGACATGGCACTTATGTCAAGGTCAATTTGGCTTATGTTGCAGAAAATTCAGAGATGGGATTGAACATAAACGTAAACATAAAACAAATTAAACAAATAATAAATGCTCGCCTTGCAGCTCAACTTTATGAAATGATCTATAGAGAAAACAATAGTTTACTTGATCTTAATTGTTAAATTCCAAGTGGTGTCTCAGAAAGTGGGTTGGTGATACAGCGTAATATTTATACTACATTTAAGATGTACACTGTGGCTGCATAAAAGTATCTTTGGTCATTTTACTCACACTTTTGGCAAACGATAGTGCTAAATTAAAGTGTACAGCAAATCAGCACCGATGGTATTTAGTCGAGCCATGTAAATATGCAAATACTGATACATTTGATACTTCTATTACTGTTATTATTATAGATTAGTAACAACAGCCACACATTGGTTTGTGGAAAACAGCCTTCAGAAAGAAAGAAAACAGAAAAGAGTTGAACTCACGTGTGTAGTTGTTGAGCCTGCGTCAGGGCGCACGCACTCCCCGATAAAGACTTATTTGCTCCAGAGCTGACTCCATCCTTTGTACCGCCGCTCAGGTCCAGACCCGGGTCCAAACCCTGGGTCCAAACACTTCATTGTCCTGAGGTGAAGCTGAAGGACCGTCCTCCTCACGATGATTGACAGCAGCGGAATTGAGCTAGCGTCTGAAGGGGACGGAATATTCTACCACCAATAATTGAATACTTACATACAGCTTCACAAAGCTAATTTTTCAAGAAACAAATGTAAAATTGCAATTTAAAACAAGACATTCAGATGAGCCTCAGTTTGGAAGGCAGTTGTTGCAGGAGGCTGCGCTGCTGCAGAGCCGCCTCGCTGCGCGCACCCCTCTGTCTCCGTGCTTTTGGTTTGGTCCAAACTTGGTCCAGATTTGAGTTGGTTTCGCTGCTGTCTCGCATCGCTGTACTGGGGCTGCCGGAGCCTGTCCAACCTCTGCTTTCCTGTCAATGGCTTTCAGGACATATTTCACTTGAATGTCTGGACCTTTTAAGTGACCGATAATGGATATTCTATGGATATTATGGACCATACCGGCAGTTCTAGCTGTGGAAGGTAAGCTATTGCTTTCATCCATCACGGCATCCTCACGCCGGCGTGAGTTTGAAACAATAAACGTGTGAGTGGAACGTCTAGTGAATGTAAAGAGGGAGCTGCGGTGCTACATTACAGAGACGAAATGACACATGCCTATCTTTCTATGGTGTTGCCCATTTGAAAGACGCAGTAGCTTTTTACGCACCAGAATACGGGATCAGATCGCTACATGAGCGGCATGTGGTGGTGATGGAGGGAAACAAACTGGTTTACAGTCGTGTTAAATGTAATTACGTGCTTAATGATCTGTAACGTGAAGTCTACGGCCATGTGGTTTGTCTTCAAACCTGATGCCCAGTGTATGAAGGTGCGCTGTTGGCCAATTTGTCAAACAGCCGGTAACAATAAGGATACGATGACAAACCGGGGACATGAGGACCGCTCCCGCAGGTTTAGTGCGGTACTAGTCTGCGGTGCGAGACTCAGAGACTCAGAGACTCGGAGACTGGGAGATTTGGAGCGAGGCGCAGTGGTCTCTGGGCGCAGTGCGTGATGTGCAGCTCCGCGCACAAAGGAACAGGTTGGAAATGTGTGTTTACAGTGGAGCGCGTACTGGAGCCAGAGCCATTCTCTAAAAGCCTTTATCTCCCTGAGATCCAATTAGAAAGCTCCTAACGCGAAAGACCACTATTACACTCTTCTCTTATACATACGGACCATGTGAACATTAGACACATGAACATACAGCTACTCTAAATTAAGCTCCATAACTAAAATTAATCAAAGTGCATTCGCTTATTGTTTATTTTGTACATTAATTTTTGCATATAGATAATTCATTAAATGTATGTTTGGACAATTTCCAGTCTTGCATTAAATTGAATCATTGACATTAATTTCTTCTGCCAATTAGTTTATAAAATGTCTAACACTTGCAAATTTGTTTATGGAGCAAACTTTTGGAATTGTTGAATTTAGAATTCTCAAAATGTATATAAATAAATTGTTCTTTTAGGGGATTAAAGTCTAGTCATATTCACAGGCTTACAGACCTATGGAAAGTTGTAAAATATAATAATTACAGGTTTCATGTCATATATATGGATAGCGTAAAGGTACTTGCATTGACACTTTTTTTAAAAGTACAACCCTTACTTGATTTGTTTGGATATACGCTTTATGAATATGAACTCGCCGTTATGCTAACTGCCACTCAATAACAATGAACTTGATGGCCTGCCTTGCTATTGGATGAGCCGCAGGTGCCCTGTAACACTAGAACAGTGTGTTTCTCCATTGTTTCCAAGTCGAAAATATGCTTATTTCTTATACTTTGTCGACGATGGCTCTAACTCCGTTGCTTGGGGATAAGTTTGAGTATCCTCTCGCCGGTTGGCCAATCCGATAAGAGACCGTCGATTTTACCCTATGAATCACCCCAGTGGACTATCCAATGGGGATGCAATAATGGCTTACGTGTGAGAAATGTAGAGGGTTGAGAAAGAGGTCACTAAAGCCTTAATCCAAAAAAAAGAAAGAAAAAAGCATCTCCCAGCATGCATCAGGGCCGATCTCAACAGTGAATCCCTTTGACACGTCTGTCGCATGCGTTTTCGGTTTAATTCGAGCTGACGTGGGTTCATATTGCTGTGCGTTGGACAGGCGTCAAAAGTTGAACAGGTTATGTGATTGAGGCGTGAGGGCAAAGCTCAAGTGCGATATATTAATTTTTAAAGATGTGTAATTGTCCGGTAAAGTATATAGAGCTGATGTTGCTTTCTGAAGACGATGCAACTCTGGAAATGTAAATACACAGACAACAACAGCTGAAGGCCACACTACAGATAATTAGTTTTGAATTGATTTTGCGTTTAAGAAATACTTGACCTTTGCATCCTTCATGTTCTCACTTCTTCAAAACGGCATCCATCATAATTGAGGCAAGGGATGTTGTTTTGTATAGCACAGGTTATACACAAGGTAACTGAAAGTGCATACATAAAAAACTCATTACAATAATACTTGTTTTTTTCCTGATTGACTGGCAGTGTTGGAATTTTTTTTTATTAAAGCATTCATTAAATTGTGAAACTATTTATTTGTCTATTTTCTTACATGAAATATATAAATAGATAAATAACAAATCTAATGTGTTTTGTATAGAGGCTGCAGATCAAATTATATGACCATTATTTTATAACAAGCATCCCTGGCGCTGTTTTGATTCTTACCCCCATGGTCATATAAACATAGTTCAAATAATTCAAATGTTTTGCACTCACAAAATATCCTATGTCTATCCCATGACAAAGTCACACTAAAACTTCAACAAAACAAACAATACAAAATGACTGCCCTGACGAAGACTTTTGTCGAAATCGGTCGTCGTTTCATAATTATAAAGACCACAGTTTTCAGAGTGCCTCCTTCTCCATTTCTTTCTTTGCAAACAATACAAAATGTTTATGCTCTTTTGACTTTTGATTTAATCCAAAAATATAAATGTACATCACAAATTTAGCTCTGGTTCCGGTCTGCATATGAGTCCAAAAATAATAAAATTCCGAAAATATATGATTACATGATTGCTGCGATTGTTAAACTCTATCTTGTGGCGCTAAGATGCAACAAGCGCCTTGTCTAGACATGTGTGCAAGTTGTTGTGGCTTCAGCTGAAAGATGAATCACTTTGATACCATATCTTCCCCTTTTTATTTTCATGGACACAATGAGCTAGCCATTGGAGGTTAGAATGAATTCACAGCATGGGGTCTTATATAAAACAATAAAAAAAAGTGTTTTGATTTTGATTGCATTTCAACATGTGCGCTTGCATTCCACCAAGCACCGCATCCCTCTCTGAAGAAAATCGTGTCGGCAAACATTGAGCAGCATGTTATTTCAATTCAGATTTGTCACTTGAATTAATGCTCCGGGTTACATATCTTTGTGCTGGAATTGTCAGAAAGAAAACCAAGTCTGTTCAAATGTAAATGTGTGGGCAATTTTTTTACACGGTATAGATTGTGACATGGAAGCTTTATGCTGAAGAGAAACAAAACATAGAGAATGGACTAAGATAAAGGTGAAATGAGTGCCTCTCGCTCAATGTTTTTGCAGTTCCCTCAATGGGCAGATGCAGGGAGCTGGCCAATGCACGCCAACCGCCCCACCAGGCTTTCACAAAGAATCTGTCTCTATTCAAGCCCTAATCCACGCTGCAGAGGGCTCGGGTATTGTCACTTTGCATGCAAAATTTCAATTAGTGCTGGTACCAGTTGTTTCACTTGGACGGGGAGTGTCATGTATCGGCTTGAAGCTACGTTTAGTATATGACTCTCGCAAAAGTCATAGTAGTAGCTCATGGATTGAAAAAAGCATTTCTTGTATTACTAAATGTCCCTACAAGAGATGGTTTGCTCGTGGCAGTTTTATGATGACCCAATAAAGTGGTCAATAAAAGATTAGTTTCTGCCATGACTGCACATGATATTCCACATTGGCAGAAATATAATTGCATTGGGTGACCTGGCCTGTTTTTAAAATAGAAATGTGCATCGATTGCTGGATCAGCCGCTTTAGGCTTGGCTGGCCGACGCGGCAAAACCCACAACATGGCCGTCGCAAATGCGATTCTGTGTCCGTTAAATGAGATGCACAATTGGCGCCAAAGCTTCGCATGCAACTCGCTAACATTGACATGTTTGCGAAGGAAATTAGACACTGAGAACAATGAAGACAACATCATTAGAGGTGCCTATCCAAGTGTAATGCACGACATGCATGCAACGTGAAGCCATACAATTGTCCATCTGCAACAAGTTTGGGGCACTTAACAATAGTTAGGCATCTGTGAAGGTCTCTTTTATGGCATGTGTTCATTTAAGTTGTATGTGTACGTTGACTCTAAGGACAATATTGTATCCAACAAGAACAATAGTAGTTCAACTGGGTCATACAGCCAAAGCCCAGTGGTTTGGAGTTGCACATGAAGGGTTTGCTTGTGAATCAAATCAACAGAAAAGAAACAAAAAAACATGTTGAGAAATGAATCTATATTTGCCACGTATCCACTTTGAATCATAATCAGAGTATTTGCCATTTCCTGTTTGAAACCACATTGGAACTTGTGCAAACATAACGTCATGCGTCAGTTCTTGGCACTCATTTTAAAACTAGTTTAACGTTCCATAAACCCTGTATAGAATATTTCCTGCTTGGTAAATACAGCCTTTGCGTTCCAGGATAAAATAGTCTTTACCTCTTTATAACCTCCTCTTTTCACACAGAAATCTAGATCAAGGATGTTCTCATATTCTGCTGTCTTAATTAGCACATGTTAATTGGTAATGGCTATTCTCTTGGTATGTCATATTTATGAGCAGGAGCCTGATTCATCTCGACCCACTGGGAATATAAACCATGTGGGGACTGTCAAATATTTCAAGACTTTTTTTTTTCCCATAACAAGCTTTCAATCTGCCCTGCAACAACTAGCCCCAATTTGCTCTACTTCATGTGACGCTCATAGTTTATTTGGGACAGTGCTAACCTGCTAGTTAGCTGAAGCCTGATAAGGAAGTGTTCATGGCCAACATTTGACATTTGGCTCCATTTTACTTTCATTGAAAAGTTTTGTGTCAGTTTTGGGCTAGTTTTGGGTTATAGAGTTTTAAAACTCTATAATGTTTTTATTGTCTTTGTAAATCAGTACAATTGGTCTAATAATACGCAATCCATCCTCGTTCTATACCAGAATGTGGCTTAGGCTAATAAACTGATTGGTTGTTTTGTTGCTATGAGGTTGCAATAGGAGAATGTTGTGTCAAATTCATGCCCATGGAGCATAGGAGAGTTAACTTGGCTTCTCCAGGGAAAAGCAAAATTTGTCCACTCCTTTCCACGGTATGTGGCGGTTCCATTAAGATGTCTTGTTTAATTGTTTTGGATTGAGGAATTTGATAATTTGTCAGAAAACCTGATTTTGCTGTTTGTTTCTGAAGATACCATCAAATGTGTCGTACGTTTACACTGTC